TCTGCGGTCTGCGGGGTCGCCTGGACTTGTGAGACCCGCTTCAGCTGGCAAAGATCCTGGATCTCCCCACCGGATCCTGGCCACATGGGCCAAGTGCTCCAAGTGCCTCCCAATCAGATTGCGCTGGTTTTCATGGAGTTGTCCTTTGCCCAGAGGCTCCCGATTGATTTAGGGCCTTCAAACAACCTGGTGTTGAGACCCCCAACCACCTCCCCGGTGTCTAATGGAGGGATCCCGTCTTCCATTGAAAGCCCCAGGAGCCTCTTGGTAATGCTTTTTCTTTGTCCTGTCTACGAGGCTTTTTTTTCTCCTCACTAAAATGCTGAGCCGTGAAAGGTGCTTTGAGTTGCGGTGGAGGTCATTCCCGATTGGGCCGAAATTGGCACAAAGAAGGCTGGAGAAAAAGCTACCTGGAGTCTCCATGACCCCTTAAAAATGGGGTCATTACCCAAAATGATGGGGTCATTACCCCATGTTTAAAGGGTCACGGAGACTCCAGGTAGCTTCCCAGGTTGGTTCATCAGTGTCTTCAAGAAGCCCTTGGGGCACAAGCCCCAAGGGTCAACTCACCGGACTTTTGAAGCCACCTTAAGGCTGCGCTTGGATACTGGGTCCAGTCTGTGAATGCGCGAGACGCGGTGTCAACGCTTTCGCTCTTTGAAAGCCACACCGGTTTCTGAAAACTGAGTGGAGGTCCAACTCTCATCCGCCAATCAAGGCTCCCAATTCACCGGTTGACGCGTAGCAACTGCCTGCCACAGTATATTTGACACTCAAGAAGTGCGACTGTCGCTGTCCCACCTGTCAAAAACGCTTTTCAGCCTTAACCTCAATGTCAACCCAAAAAAAACACATTCACCACGGACCCCCCCAAAAAAAACTCGAAAACAACCAAACACAACAAGGCAACACAAAAACGGACCTCCTAGGCCCCCCCCCTTCCACCCCCCTCCCCTCGGCCGCCCCACAAAGCGCTTCGTGCCTGGGTCGCCCCAGGCCACCAGCGGGCCATTGGCCAAGAAAGCGCCGAAGGCCGTGCCCTCCCGGCCGTTGGCCATGACGTGACACCTGGCACCCCGCCACCAGGTGGCCCCCCTGGACCAAAACATATTCTTGGTTGCTGCAACGACCCCCTCTGCAAGAAGTTGTTGTTTCTTCTTCTTTTTTGTTCTAAACTTTTTGGGGGTTTAGTGGAAAACACCTTGATTTCAACCAAAAAGTGAAAGTCTAAAGATCCAACCCAATAGCAGTCAAGTATTCTAGGTGAACTTTAATATTTCACCAGCCTGAAATAAGGTAGTTGGAGGGATATTCCCCACATAAACCACAATTTGGGGTGAGGTCGTGTGAGGTCGTTGTAATTCACCCAGAACATAGGCCCCGGAGACATCCGAGAGACGGATGCTTTAGGTGAGCACCCACCCCTCCTGGCTTCCTGCCTTGAACCCTCAATTCGGAATCCCAGAAATGGTATGGTAGGTAACCCTCAATGAGAATATCCCATAGATGACTTCTTTTCTTGTTTGGGGGGGCGTGTGCCAACGGATTGTCGCTCACTTTGGTGGCTGGTAGAGACTTTGCGCAAATGCGGTCCTCTGCGCCGTGGCAGTAAGCACATCATTGTGCTGCAGCCCGCATGCGCTCAAAGTGCCTCGGATCAGGCACGAGTGAGGAAGCTCAGGTTTGGGAAACCAAGGCAAGTCACTTCAGTCGGACCAGCAAACCCTTCCGGCGCTAAGCACAGACAGGCTGTGCGGCTTTTGCGACCAGCATGCTGGACGTGGAAAAAAAGGGCAAGTCTCCGTGCCCTGCTTGGGCTTGCGCAAAGCAGGATGACAACTTCAAGGGCTGGGCTCCCGCTTCGCAAACAGCCGTTTCGGCCCCAATTTTCGCTGAGGTTCAGCACAAACAGGCTTGAATAACGGGACGGTCGTGGTAAGGTTGGAGGCGATCGATTTTTTGCCACGGTCTCAAAGAAAGCGTGGCTTAGCCAGAAATCCAGCCTTGCCCTTTCAGACCTTCTGAAATTCATTCGGCTCGAGTCTGAGCCGTGCGGCTGTTGGGATTCAGGGCCTCGCCCTTGAAAATGAGCTGCAGGAAGCCGATCCTCAGATGTCTCCGGCTAAAGCCATGGCTTACTTGCTTGCTTTCTGCTCCCCTGCTAAAAGTTTGACTTTTAGCGGTTTCATGGAAAGCCCATTAGTTGGCAAAAAGTTAAAGTCCTAACATCCATGCAACAATGTAACAAAGCTCATACCTCTGCGGATTCAAATGAAACCCCAGAGAGGCAAATCGTTTAGAGGAGGCTCCTTGTGGGGGGCCAAAATGTTGGTTCCATATTTACTTGCAGTGGAGTACCTGACCGTCCTGAACATAAACAAACACATGACTCCCAGTCGTTGAAAAGAACACCAAAACAAATGCAAAGAGAACAGGACTCCCCAAACAGGTTGGCTCGCTTTGGGAAACTGAGCAGGTTCCTGACGGCAGAATCCGGCATTGCCATAGAACCAGGCAGGGCCGTTTCGCAAAACATAATAAGTGACCGTCACCCTGGTGCAGGTTCCGCCTGACATGTACCTGCATACGCTACAACCTACAATCCCCCTGTAATTGGCTGGGAAATCCAGAGCTTTTACTCCAACAGCACCTTCTTCGAGAAGTTTGGACAAACACAGCAAATTATTGTTATATCCTATTTGGAAAATGGCGTGCGTCCACAACCCCCAACCCACTGGCGCTTTCCTTTTGTAGCATCTAGGGCTCCCCAATCACCCAAGAAGAGTTACTCGTGTCTTAGAACCGTCTATCAGCTCTACATGGAGAAAAAACAAAATTGAATAACCAAACAATGACATGTATATTATGCATATATATATATATACATGGTCACCCCCCATGATCCACCTGCCCTGTTTGGAAGCTTGAGAAACCATAGTAATTACCATTGTTTTCTTTAGTGATATATATATATATATGTATATGTGTATATATATATATATGGGCCAAGTCCGCACCCAGGCTCTTGAAGTGCCGCTGGGCGGAGCTCGCGAGGTCCCGCACCCGCGAGTTCCCGGGCGCGCGCAAGGTCACGCTGCGGCCGCTGAGCAGATGGATCTTCAGCGCCCGGGGCGCCGCATCTTCGATCCAGGCGGCCATGAAAGGCAGCAGTGAGCAGCCACAATCGAAACTCCAACAAATAATGCTTCAATTAACCAGCCACACAGGGACGCATGCCTTTTTCCGAAGCCATACAGGTGATGCTTCAATTAACCAGCCACACAAGAACACAGTTTATAGTTAGGGATATGTAAGTTTATATTCAAATTGCGCTCCAACCTAGACAATCAAAACCCGGTATTAAAATAGTCGACCAAGAGAAAAGTAAGGAAATACAAAGGCCGCAACTATTTATGGCTGGCATTGTCCTGTACTAACCTTCATTTGCCCGGGTTTTGATTGTGGCTCAAGTGATCTTTGCGCCTTTTTGTTTGGTGCCTGAGGTGTTGGGAAGATGTTTTTATTTATTATTTGTTCTCTCTCTCTCTCTCTCTCTCCCCTACCCTCTGCTGTTGCGTCCAGAGGGTCTTTGGGTCTTGACTCAACGAAAAAGGCGGCCACTAGTTGTCTTTGTGCCTTTTTGTTTGGTGGCTTAGGAGTTGGTCTCCGAAATGGCCCTCCAATGGAGGTGTTTTCAATATGAAAAGGGCATCCCTGAGGCCCGAACTATCTTGTGGCTGTCTCCAAACAGCCTCACCATGAGAAGTTGCCTTTGCCGTTGGTTCTCTGGTTGGAGTCGTGTCAAGGTGGCAGGGTCGCTCTGGCTTTACAAATGGCCGTTGGCTTTAAAGGTTGCGGATTCAGCAGTTTGGGAGACCAAAGGCGAACAATGTGCTCAACGTTCTATGTTTTGGTGCCTTGCTACACGCGCGACCAAACTTACAACACCAAATTCGCGTCCTCGAGTACCGACCAACTGGTACGAGGGCGTAAATCATCTAACAGGGTGAGATATCTTAAGACTACCTTTACTCACAATCATAGCGGTGTACTATTAGTTGTTCTGTAGCCCCTTGATGCTACAACCTGAACTAAGGATATGTGTGAAAGTTACCTGGCCCCGTCAACCGTCATTTATTCGCTGGAGTGTGCTCACTTGAGCCAAGCTGCGGGCATTCGCTGCTTGAGGAAGCCCGACGGTTCGTTGCGAGCCCACAACCAAAGTCAGAACAAACCTGACCTCAGAAGGGCTCACCCAAAACCAGGGCAAAGACTATCAGGATTCGCACCTATTTATGTGGCTGGGATTCATCTGAATTAAGCTTCATCCACCCCTGATTCGATTGTGACTCATGCTAAACCTGCATCGGTTGCGGGCCCTGCAGGCACGTAAAAGCTGCTCATCCTCGCGGGAACTATTAAAGAAATTGGCTAATTCTGGACCCGCTTTTATACTCAGGGTCGCTTTTGTCGAAAGCTGTTTCCTAATTCAGAATCCTGTGACTGTTGCGAGGGCCGCTCTAACAGAACGTTCGTTGCCGGAAAACTCACCCAGGAAACCAAACAAACAAACAAAACAACCAAACAAGGAAGCAAGCAAGCAAGCAAACAAACAAAACACATCCTGTTTTCAAATGGCGGCCTATTTTAGCCCTTCCCGCTAAGGCCCTTATCCAGATTTGAAACTTCCTGTTGTTGAAGTGGTCCCCAAGCCATCGATTTGTTGTAAATCCCTCCTTAAAGGAAAAGCGAGGCCAAGCAAACACGCAAAGGGGGGACCCCACAAAAGACCCGATTCTCTTTAACTTGTTTTTTGAAGTGGTCCCCAAAAACTGCATGTGTTTTACTAATTCCATGTTGTATATCGCTGGTTCAACAAGGCCAAACAACCAGAAGCCAGAACCAAAGTCCTCGGAAAAATAGAAAAGAAAAGAAAAAAAGGATGCATGGCAACAGCTCTCTTGGGGGAAGGGAAAGGCTTGCCATTCCTTCGGAAAGTCCTGCGTGTAGTTGTCGATCTTCTCAATCCTCGGCGTGTGGGACACAAAACAACTCTCTTTAAAACTTGTCCCCAGTCACTACTCCATCCTGACCCTGCGACGCAACCTTTGCAGACTTCCAACAAACTACTCACCTCCAAAAACAGGAATCAGAGCCAGCAAGCACAGAAATAAGCAAACCAGATTCATGACCAACCAAGCACGAAACCTGCTCAAACGGGAACACACCACACGCAGCATTGCTCCGAACTGGGACAGCCAAAGGAAGCCAAAGGAAACCAAACAAAAGGCCCAAGTTGCAGACCATTTTTTTCCGGACACTGGCCTTGGTCACTTCCGGCCCCCTCCAAAAAAGTCGGGGGACAAAAAACCCGGGCAGTGACTTCTCACGCAGAAATCGGAACACGCCCCCCCCCACACGCCCCCCCACCCAGCCAGCCAGTCCCTCCAGTCCCTCCGGCCGGGGCACACGTCTTGCTCCCGGGAGGCCAAGGTCTCCACCAAGTTCTCCGCCTGATCCCAGTCCCGCGGCTCTTCGAACCTGCCGAAGGGCCATCTGGCCGCAGGCCGGGAAAGCCCAGCGCCCTTTGGGCCAGGGGAAACATCAAGCGGTGATGGGTTCGCCGAAAGAAACAAAACAGGTTGTTCTATATGTGAAAAAACAACAAGGGAACAGGAAACATAGTTGCAGTGATGGGGAAATTGGGAGTGAGTGATTCTATATCCAGCAGGAAACAGTATACTGTATCCAGCAGTGAGTGATTCCCTTCAAAACCAAGCACTGCCGCACACGGAAAGAAGAAACCAGTGGATGTACGTCGGATGGGGGTAGATTGACCAAAAGGTCCAGTAAACATGGGATGCCCGTTGGGGAAAACCAGTAACGAGATGATACTTCCCACTCAAATGGAACAGCTACCGATGGTCATTTGGGGGCCAGGAATGTTGATCAACCCCCAAATGGGTGATGTCAGGTATTGAAATGTGTTCAACAAAAGGGCCCTGGACGAGAACTGGTGCCTGACCAATCTTGACAAAGCCCAGTTTTGGCCGGCAAGTAAAAGTCTGCGATCCATGGTTGCTGCAGGCTGCTCGCGCGGCCTTGTTCTCGCACTATTGATAATGAATTGGGCGTGCACAACGAAACAATCCTATGCGCGCATTGATGGTTGTCTTTTTGCCGTTTGGTTGAAAGCCCAACGACCCTGATAGAAAACGGTGACATACGGTGACTCTTTTTGGGCTTTTTGGGGATCACCCGGTTTGGTGGGGAAGCGACAAGAGGTTGCCCCTGGCGGCCAGTGGCCTGGCATGTCGGGGCGACATGGCCCTTGCAGCATCTGCGAGCTGGTGCACGTTCACCCGCACCTCAAGGATGCACCGGGTGAATTGATGTTCAGGTGCATCGCAAGGATCATACCCTTCGGGCCCCAAAGGAACCCTCCATGGTGCCATAGGCTGATTGGTCCCTTGGCGCTGTTTGGGTTTGTGTTTTGGAGATGGGTGCAATGCTGAATGGACAGGACGCACTGGACACGGAGTCAACTGTGCGAAAGGCAACCATTTGCCCTGTGAACCAAACAGCTCGTGCAACTACGTTTTCTTCATACCTCCTGACTCTGACCCTTATGTACTTTGTTTGTTGAGGACTTGCTGTCGCTCGACCAACCGAAAGTGGTTCCAAAACTAGGGCCCTTCTTCTGGGGATAGTATTGAAGAGAACCAGCCTAAATATGGTCGAAAGCATGCTTCAAGCGACTCGCCGCGATACTCCCCTGCAAAACAAACGGCACCCAAATGTCTCCAAATGGAGACTCCCCGAGGAAAAAACATATATATATATATATTGGATGCATGTTCACCTGCGAGAAAGCATGAATTACCGTTTCTCAAGGTCTCCCAAGTGTCAGGCTCAAGGGGAAAGGCAAATACCCAAGTGAGGTCGTGGCAGCCTAAAACCCAATGTCCCAACCGTGCGCCTTCCTCTCACTTTATATAATACTTATATATACATATATGACATATATATACATAGAAAATTTCCATATGCATATTATGTCAATACGTCTCTCTCTCTCTCTCTTTCTGTCACGCGCAACCCCTGTTGATTGATTTCCCTTCAAACCATCCCGTCAAAAAGACCTAACCCCAACGATTCCCACCACCATGCTTGAGGTAGCACCAGGTATGCCAATTCAACAACAACAGCTCTCCCAACATCAGCAGCCCAAACAAGTCATGTCCAAAAAAGGGTGGTGTCTCTTCGTCTTTCCCTTGAACCATCATTCTAGGGGTTGATTCCCCATTCATTCTTTTCAACCATCGTTCTTTTCAAAAACCGGCTGTTTCCCCTGGATGTTTGACGGTTTCCTGAAAAGAAGGATTCCTGGAAAGAATGGGGAAGGTACCCCTAGAATCAGCCAACAAGTCCCAAAGCCCCGCAAACCTCCCACATTCCCGCCACGGCAACACCTCGTCAGAAGGTTGGGGGCCCCGCCATGGCGATGGCCAAGTTCTGGGCAAATTGGCGATCCAGGATCAGCTGAACCTCCTCCTGGCGTCAGAATCTGTGAGTCTGAAATTTAAGTGGATTTGGGACCCTTGGACATCCAAATTCGGTGGGGATCCATGTCCAACCACTTTGGAGGGGTTCCCGATGTAAAAAAAAAAAAAACAGATCTGTGAGCCCCCAACAGCCCAAAACTGCACCCAACACCCGCATGGAACCCACTGGGATTACCGCTTTTCTGGTCTTCCACCCTAAGTCTTGCATGTAGGGTCCTATTTAATTAGAAGGGCGGGGCAACATTTGCAACCGGCGCCTGGCTTCCAAGCAAACCACAAAGGGGTCAAAGGGCTTCAACAATTAGTGCTTCAACTTCAAACATGTGTCAGTTTCAGCAAAGGGCTGGCCCAAAGCTGCGACAAAATCCACTTCAAAGGACCGAGCAAAAAGAACAACAAATCACCTTTGCCGGGGGGGGGGGGTTATCAGACCAAGTTGATTGGCACTAGCTGGCCTGGAGCGTTTGGCAGAATCACCTTGGAAATCAGGTAGGGCGCCTGGGGGTGGTTTTCATAATATTGGACCTTCTTGTGGGCTTGCCTTCCAAGGCGGCACAACACGTCGCCAAAAGGGTCCCAAAAAAGGGCCCATGATTGCGAATCACACGGAATATGTAAAACGGGAGACAGGCACAACCGCGAAACGGATGGACCGGTGGCGGGTGGTTACAAGAAATGGTTCTGAGTCTCATGGGGAACATCCTCAAAACGGTTGAGCGGAGAACGTAAATGATGCCCCACAATTGAGACCACCTTTGGTTTGTTGTTTGCCCTTTGGTTTTGCCTTCGCGACTACACACCGGGCTTCTTGCCCCTCCCGACTTTCAAATGAATCAAAGACTTCAAGAGTGAGCCCGCCTGAATTGACCAATCCAGCGCCAAGCAATTGATACGAACACTATCTTATGAGATCACCCCCACCCCCCGCCCCCGGAGGCACTTGCCTAACCTCGCCACCCCCCCCCCCCATATGCACCCTTTTTAATGTACACCACAAGCAATCTTTAGCCGAACCTCCAGTCACCTACCTCCCACCCGGGCCTGCCGGCGTGGCCGCTCCAAAGGCTGCCGCCGCTCTGCTTCCGTGCGCTTGGCGAACTCGTCGAGCAGGGGGGCCTTCGAACAAAGCGACGTGGGTCCTGGGTTCGTCTTTTGGGGGTACGCGTTTGAAGGGCGACCATTCTTTGCGGGTGACCCAAATTTTGACATATACCGTCGCATATCCACTTCCCAAAAAGAAAATGGAGATGCGAAACTTTGTGGGCACCTTCCAAATGCCATAGTTCTTATATTAAAACAGTCCGCAAAGCGAAAATCGGGAAAAGCGGGGGTGACTGCATTACTTGAACCCCTCGAGCCCCCCTCCAAAGCGTTGGCTTCAGAAAGCGAGGCGTGCACACTTCACACTCCAAGGTCCCGGCGAGGTCAGGTGATTCGTTGCGATCCTCGGCGCCGAAGATGGTGTTTGCCGCGTCCTCGAGGGCTGCAGTCGACGGGGGGCAACGTCTCACGCAAGCGAAAGAAATTCAAAAATGCTCGCAGGGTGTTCGTGTTCTGCGATCTGAAAAAAATGAGGCGTCGGTGTGGAAAAACAATCTAACTCATAAACGTCTCAGCGCCGAATACAACGTCAGGCGGTCAGCGCCGCACCCAGGACTCAGCAAATTGCCCTTGCCAGTCTCAATGCAGTCAAGGCTCTTGGACCGGCCTAAGGAGACAACACAACCAGCCGATTAGACAGGAATAGGGTATGAAATGCAGGGCCCATTGCCATTCATTCCAAGTGAAGCGCAGACTGGCTGCGAACTAGCTATCCCACTTGTTAAGGGCATGTACCGGTGCAACTTGTTGGCTAGGTTTGATCAAAAGCAAGTGCTTCACCAAATTGTAGTGAGCTCCATCCAGCATGCGTACGCCCTTTCAACAAAGCGGTGCCAGCGCACCATATTTTCAATTTCACGCTGGTCTAAATCAATTCTGCCTATGCAAAGTACTCGCGTCCCCCCGTACCCGCCCCCCAACGTCAAAAAGGAACACATTACCCATCCCCGTTCGGTTTCCTTTAGCGAACATTCCCTTCCCCGGCACAGAATTGCAGAAATAGATTCATTCATGTGTTTGGACTTGTGGCATCGAATTGTGTATGGTGGTAGTTTTAATGCAAGTATCGTCTTGGCATCTGTGTGTATCTGTTTATGATTGGTTGGGTATTGGTTCTAATTTGCGGGAGTTGGGTCGGGGCAACTTGCTGCTTTGGAATTGGCGCTGGCATTGGCCAGCTCAATGTTAGCATTTGGCAAGTAAGGGTCTGGAAACAAATGGAGTAATAGGGTGCACTTGTTGAAAAGGGGAAGTGGTTGGGCATGGATGTGGCAGCAACCACTGTTTTGAAACGCGCTCGCAAGACGTCGCCAAAACTAGTCAATCCGACGCCAACGCAGCAGGGCCCCGAAGGCTCCAGCATTTGCACCTCCCATTCAATAGGTCCAGGCCCAAGAGCCTACCCAAAGGCAGGATGAATCATCCACTGTAGACTATCCTGTCCATTTGGAATGAGACAAATCCATGAGGCGGCAAATTCAGGCCTGAGAAGCCAACAAACAGAAGGCCAACATAGGCCAACTTTTAGCTGTAAGGCATTTGGCCAACGTTTCTTCTTTTTTTTTCCGGGGGGAGCCAGCAACTATGCCCCCTTTCCACGTCACGCCGCTCGAAGCTAGGGTGACATGTTTGAGTCTCCAAAAGGGAAGACTAACATGTAGAGCTGTTGGAAGCCCACCAAAACAATCCAAATGTTAAATGTTGGGTCCCCCCTCCCGCCCCCCTCCTCCCCCTCCCCTCCCCGCCCCTCCTCCCCCTCCCCTCCCCCTCCTCGCCCTCCCCGCCCCCCTCCCGCCCCTCCTCCCCCCCGCTCCTCTCACCGGCCAACGGCCAAGCCGCCGGCTCTCCAAGAGCCCGTGGATCTTGGCTCGGGGCTTGGCTTTGGCCGGCGCCTGCGCGCCAGCGGCCCAACCACCCCAACCCCCCCCCCCCCCTCGCCCCCGGCGTTTTTTGGACCACTGGTGGCGACCAAAAAAAGTTGTTTTTTTTGGTGGTGGCTTCAAATTTCTGCAAATATTGAGTCTTGAGGGATATGTTTGACTTTGGAAGGAAGCTGACACTCAGAAGCTTTTTTTTACCAAGTCTCCGTCTCCAGACCCACTCTCCCGGCATAGAGAGGGTCCCAAATTTTAGGTCACCCTCCGATTGAAACTTCCCTCAAACCTGACAGGTCCACGTTTGACTTGACGGCTTCCCTGACTACAGCCAAAACATAGACCCGTATCCGTCCTCTGGCGTCGTCTTGGAGAAATCAAGAAACCAATATTTGCTATGCGAGGGTGGAAACCCCCAAGGAAGCGCTGGGAGGGGTGCCGGGCTTTGCACTGGATGGGTTCAAGATAAGTTGGCGGGCCAAAGCAGTTCCTCTGAAAACCTCACCGTGTGCCACAGCAAGTGAACCCCCTCGCAGCTAGCAGCAGGCACTTTTCATCTCTTCTTGCGAGAGAGCAAAGTCAAGTCTCTCCTGTACCATGGGGGCTGACAAGGCCATTGACCCCCCACAAAAAGCTGCGAACGCATAAGCCGGAAGATGCATAGGGACCCATTGCTCAACTGCATCCTCGCAGGGCTGACCTGAAGCGATGTCCCTTCTTGGCTTCTCCAGCCTCGCAACTTGCTTCTGGCCATACCTCTGTGGGGAACACTCAAAGATCAGCCCCGACCTGTGTCCCAGCAGGAGCTTGATGCCCGAGAATTGATCGGAGCTGTTCGCACCCGTGGTGCGAGTTTACGGGTTACACACCAAGGGGTGGATGGCCCAAATTTCGGCCAAGCACTGCTCCTTGTGGAGCCACCCAAAGGCTGCTTGGACGCAATGAGCACATGGCCAGCACGAGCTGCCTGGAACTTGGAACGGCAGAGGCCCAAACTGGGACTCCAGTTTGTTCCCAGTTTTGGTTCAGGCCCCACGCAAAAGAGAAACACGGCACCAGCACCGAGATGCACCTCTTTCGATTTGGGCACTGGGCAGCTTTTAGATTCTTTCTAAGGCTTCTGTTTTAGAAAACTGGGTGTTGTTTTCTCTCGGACCCCCCGCACGACGTGTCGCACGTGCACCAGCGGGCGCTCAGTCCTGCTCCGGGCCGTAGCCGTCTGCGGCCTTGGGGCCCTTAGCAGGGACCAGGCGGATGGTGTTCAGCTTCCCTTGCTGGAAGAGCGGCAAGCCTCACGCAAGTTGCTCTCTGCTTTTGTTCTTTTTGTGAGTCACTGTTGCGATCGGTTTTTGGGGCAAAGTTCATGGAAAAACGCAGCAGCTGGCGATCCAGGAAGGAGGGAAGGGCTTCTTTGAAGACTCGTCAGGCGCGTTTCGAACCATACGACTCTTGAAGCATCGGCCTCAAAAAATGGGGCCTCTGGCTTCAAGCCCACAAACAACGGATCCATGGGACCTTGCCATGCGACCAAGCCCTCAACCCATGGGACCACGCCAGGCATTGCCATGCGACCAAGTGGCGAGACACCACCACGACCCAATCATCCGCCGTCCTGGCGATGCCCTTGTCGCGGATCAGCCGGCAGGCAATCTCTACTCCCACATTGAAGCGCACCTGCGAGAAGAAGCCCCCAAATGAGTGCGTCACCGCTCTCGCCGAGCCCGGTATCTTTCAAAGCCAAGAGGAAGGCTCCTTACTTCAAATGAGTGAGCCCTCCCCTACTCATTTAAATAGAAGCAAATGTGCGTAATGAGTAAATGAGTGAGCCCTCATTTGCGTAATGAGTAAATAGAAGCAAACCAACAAGGCCAAAACAAGTATACAGCACGGCGGGCCCCTGTCCTGCTCCATTGGGCTCACACGCAAAATCCGCGTACGGTGCAATCCGCTTTTGGCTTCAGCCCTCCTCTTGGCTTTTTCCGTAAAGCCGAGGACCCAAACCTACTCTGTTGGAACTCTTTCTTTGGAACCACCCATGTCCCCGCCAATCGTCACCCATCTGAACTGAACCTTCCGACGGACGCAGGGGCTGGGTCCATGTACCCGGACAGGAGGTGATTCCGGACGTTGAGGCAACTACTTGCTGCAGAAAGAAAAAAACAGGGGATGGTATGCGAAAAGGCATCTGGATGGTATGCTAAAGGTATCTTATGCAACTGCAGGCAAACATAGATCTGCACAAAGTGCTACAAATCACTACCCTGGACTAAGAAACCATACATGGGAGACCTTCACCATGGATGAGCTCCTTTTACCCCCAAGCGACCATCATAACTAGTGCAAACATATACATACACAAGCGCGTGGTGGGTGTTGCTCAGGTCCCGTTTTGGATAGGCCCCGGTTTCTTTTTCTTCTTCAGTTTGATGGGTATCCGCTTCCGGTTTCTGGTGGTAATTTTGTCGGGTACTACGTGGGAAGGTACTACATGGGAACATGTTTGAGTCCCCCTGGTCTTCGCAACCACTGGGTATGTGTCAAACCGGAGGCACTGACAAATTGCGGTGTTCGTTTTTGCTTTCCCTTTAGACCATTCCCAAACGGCTACTGTACTCTTGACAATCATTGGGAGTGTCTCTCCTTTTTGGGGCTACAATTTCGGGTTGGTTTCAAGAATCCCGAGGAGCGTGAGTCAGAACCAATATCCCGTATTAAAATGGTCTACCCAGAAGCATGGCTGGGAGGATGGTCTCTTGATCTTCATCTGCCCATCTTTTTCGGGGTATAAGTCCTTCTTTCTAGGTCCTCCAGTAGAGAGGTTAGAATCAGGGTACCGTTTCCTTTTTCTGCAGTCTATTTTGGTAGGGGACAGAAACCTCCCCCCCAAAAAAAGAGTCGGTAAAAGTTGGGCCCCTGGCACCTAGCAACAACCCGAGCACGGCCCATTTCGGGGGGGGCGAAACGAAACGACCCACCGGGCCTTGTGGAAGGAGCCCTCCTCTTCCGCCAGGGCGGCCAGTTGCTGGGCCTGCGCTCGGCGGATAAGCGGCGGCTGCGCTGACGGGCTGAAAATTCGGAGTCTGTCTAGATGGAGCCTGCAAACCCAGTTGCTGAAAAAAAAAGGTCACACAGTAACTGATACTGATGGCTCTGTTTGCCATAGCTGTTCAAGTCAACCAAAGCGAGCATTTGGGGCTGACTCATTGGCGCAAGCGGGCTGTCACGTCCCCAACTTTGCGGACCGCGTCGGCCTCCGGATCGCTGGTGCCGTAGACCCCATGCATCAGCGAGCAATGCCTCGCCACCTGCCCGGCAAGGAGCTGTCGGGCCGGCGAATGCGGGAGGGCTGCCCTCCAGAAACTGAACAGCTTGCCTCCCCGTGGTGGTTTCCTCCATATATGCCTTTGAATAGCAAAATGTGCACCCTGAACAAAAATGCATACGCGTTTGGAAGAGCAATGTGTGTCCTTTAAGAAGGAGTTGACACCTAAACCCAAGCCACAATTCCCATCCTCCGAACTCCATGACTCTTCTCACAAGCTTCCAACCCTGCATCCCACTCGGGCCATGCCGCATATTCAATGCCCCGGAGACGAACCCAAGAAAACACGACCAAACTCGACTCAGCCTGAGTCACCGACTTGCAACCACCACTGCTAGCGGATTGTGTGCGTGCGTGTCAAAGTAAGGCATGGCTTGGGCCTCCAGAAAACATATATATATATATGCATCCATAAATATATTTAATAAATATATCCATTTAGGGACGGGTAGACAAATAATTGAAGCTATTGTTGCGATTGAATACTTTTTGACCCCGAAGCGAACCCACCAAACAAAAGGGAAAAGGGTGCAACTCCCCGAGCAACTGGGATCCTGCCTGCACCAAATCCACGCAGTTGTCAAGAGGAATTGTTTACGAGAACAAGGTGTTCCCTCATTCATCTCTCCTCTTTTTGGTCAGCTTCTTTCGGAAAAACTGGCTTTTCCCCATGAATACCTCCTTTCTTAAAGTTGAGCTTTTTTTTCCCACGTTCCACCAAAAACATCGAAGCTGGGACTTCGGAGCCCCGCAGCTTCCGCCCGCGGCGAGTTGTTTGGCGCCTCGAGGCACTTGCAGATGGCCACGATGGGCACCCCGGGCCGGCGCTGCGACAGCAGCTGTGCGGTGCGGCCCGTCGCGGTGAAGACCACGATGCCACAGGCGCCCAGCTCCTCTCCCGAGGAGTACGCTCACACTGCCGTAATATGAAGATGCATGTGTATATATACATATATATGTATAGATATATACATATGCATATATGTATATCTATATGTATATATATAATATATATGTATATATATATATATATGTATATTACTGTGATTTCCCTTCCAGGTAGTGACTTTGCCACCATATGAAGGTAACGATGTAAGTTGCTTTGATGCTTCAACCAGCCTGAAATGCTTCAAATATTGGGCTTGGTGTCCTTGTTCAACTTCAAGTCTTGCACAACCCCCGTTTAAAGTTTAGCCCTACTTACAACCCACTTAGCGGACAACCCCCCACAGCGGATACCACCATCCCTTTTCAAACGGACATTCGTCTTCCAAGAGGGGCTTCTGCACGAAGCCATGTTTCTTAGGCATAAACAAAGCTTGGGGTCATCCAAGCCACCCCTCCCCCCCAACCCATCCCTCCCGCCGTGTGGGAAATAACCCTTTCTGTAACACCAAAGTTTCTATTTCTGCGATTACTTCACTTTCGAAGACTCCTTTGGTTGCAGAAGGTGGCCCAGAAAAACCACATCTGCATTTTGTTGACCTTGGTACCCTCAGGTGAGCTCGCAATAAACCAGGCATCGTCCCATTCATCCAAACCACATAAAACCGGTGCCCAACATGGGACCCTGGTAAATGGAACCAAGGACTAAAACATGCCCTGGTGGCTTCATTTGTTTAAGTCCACGGGAACAAATGAAAATATGTTCTTTCTGTCCACTAGTGATAGATTCCGTTTGTTTCTAACAGGGGAA